GATGTTGTCCCTCTGTTCCCTCATCTCCTCCAATCCGAGCTGCAGTCTGTTATTGATCGAAACAGTGCGTGCCGTTTTTACTCCATCTAAACATCCACTCATCTCTTCTTTCACTCTCTTCCTATCATTCAGGTCCACATTGGGCACAAGGTCGTAACTCAATTGGAAAAGTGGATGCCTCGATGATCGTGATTTGGTTCATAATCCCCAACTCGCGCTCACTACAGGTCTTCTATCATTCCTCTCTCAGGTTCCGGTGGAGTGAATCACGCACGCACCACTGGCATATCGGTAGTTTCTTGTAAGGTATGGACGCATCAGCTTCCCTGCCACCGTTTAGTCTCACATATGTGCTTGTAAGAGGCACACATGGGTCTCCCTGTCGCTACCTGTCTCCTTTGGCCTCCGTAAGGCTTGGACTACTTACGGGGGAAAGTACGGCGTGATGCTGTTTTCACCCACGCATCTTTTTTGTTCCCGAAGCCCGCAAAATTGTGCAACACTCTTCCCATTTCCGTGTTTCCCAGCTCTTATATACCTACCCTTTTCAAAAGCAGCATTAACAAATTGATTCGTACTTCGATGTTACCCACATAGCTCCCCGTAACAGTAGATCGTGGAACATGGGGTTTACCCCTTTTGCAGTAAATCGCTTGCCGTCCGACTGCCTAGCAAGCCCCTTTAGAGCCTTCGTAACCCATGCGGTTTTTTCCTCTAGCTCTCTCAGACCACGATCTTGCTGTTCCACTTTTGCAGTGATCCTGTTGAGCTCTTTGCAGACCCTTGTTCATTTCGCTGTCCGGAGTAACAGTTCGTTTCTCAAGCACCGTGACCTCGGCTACAATCATGGAACTTACTGGATTCACGAGCTTCCCGACTTTCCCGGGTTGCCAGCAGCTTACGTCTTTTCATGCACTTCGGGAAGGCCCATTTCAAACAGGCGTTCTCCGTGTATAGCCCCAGGGCCTTCTAGGTTAACCTGCAACACTTTGGATGGTACCACGCCCTGTATGCATCGCAGCAGATACCATCTGCAACATCTTCGCATTTAGCATCCCCACAGGGGAAGGAACGAGGAATAAACGCCGTTCTGGGCGTGTCGATGCACCGCTTTACATCATCTTTGGTTTTTTCATTGGATACGATGGTGGACCCAAGGTACTTGAAGTCCGATACGATTTCTATTATCCACCCATCCAGTTGCAGAGTATGTTCCACTTGATTGGATGGAGTGACGAACATCTTGGTTTTATTAGGATTAATCTCAAGGCCGATATCAGTGGAAAATCTTTTGATACGGTTGAGAGCTGTTTACAAGGCGGTCAGGTCCGCTCCAAGCACTATCGCGTCATCGGCGAATTCGTGGTCAGTAATCCAGCAGTCTGCGGAAACTTAAACGCCTTGGTAACCTTCCATTGCCTGACACGGAATCCGATCAACGGCGAAGTTGAACAGCACTGGAGATAACGGGCATCCTGGGTTTACTCCTGACCTCAGATCGAAGGGATGAGACTCTTCGCCGTAGGCACGGATACGGGCTTTGTTTCGGGTGTAATAATATTGACCAACTTTGCAGGGACGCCATTTGAAAGCATTGTCTTTCACAGTGACTCGTGAGCTACTGAATCGAATACGGCGCGAAAGTCGATGAAACATGTAGCGGTGGGGCGCGGAAACTTTTATCGGTGTTCCAGAATGCGCCTTNCTTAGGATGAAAATCAGATCGATAAATCCTTTGCCGGGTTGACCACGTACGTGCATGTCTCACTGTAGCGAATCGATTAAGCACAAGCTGGACAAACGCTTTTGCAGCCATATCCAGCAGACTGGTGCCCCGATAATTCTCGCATAGTATCTTGTCGCCCTTCTTGGGGAATGAAAGCAAAACTGAGGTGTTCCAATCAGTTGGACATGTTTCGGTCTCCGAAATACAGCGAAAGAGAGAGTGAAGCGGTTTGATGACCACCGGAAGGCATTTCTTATATATTTCTGCCGGGATTCCGTCTTCACCAGGGGCCTCGCCAGACTTCAAGCGGTCGATCACTGCGACGATTTCTTCTATCGTTGGGTGATTANTACAGTCGACCTCTTATGGGGACGCCATATCGAGATGAATATCCACCGCATTGCCCAGATGACAGAAGTCGATTAAAATGCTCCACCCATCTGGTCATTCTACCATCAATATCGGAGATCAGTCCCCAGGAGGAGTCGCACAGAACGGGTTGTAAAGATAGTCTTCTACCGGACGCTTATCTTATGGGGCGGAAGAGATCTCCAAGGTGACATGCGCTGGCTGCGGTTTCCATCTTGATCGCTATTTCGTTTCAGTAGTTGTGCCGATCTGCTTTTGTGTAGCGGTTTTCTACCCGTTTGAGTCGCTGTTAATCCTGGTGGCCAGTTAGACGGGCGTTCCTGGACAGGGTTGAGCGACGAGTAGTTTCCTCTGATATCCAGTCTTTGTAATGGCGTTTCGTGGTACCAAGTTTGTTTAGTGCAGCTTTTATCCTGGACCACTGCACATCAGTATAGTCTGCTACGATGACCGATTGGGTAGACTGGCAGTCAAGTTTCAATTTCGCAACACTAATGGGCCCACATTGATGTGACTTGGAGGGATGGTCTTGACACGAGTAGTCAGCCAAAGGTAAAGTTTCGCACGAACCAACATGCGATTAGAGCCACCTCTGTTGCACGCTTCGGCACCGCGATACGATCTAGTCTTCTACTGATGAGATCCAGCGTGACCGTTTCAAGATATAGTCGATCTGGTGGGCTGTTATACCGCCGTTGGAGTGCCGCGTAAGAAGATGCTTCCGGGGGTGCTGAAAACACGTGTTGGTTATAAACAGCCGGTTGAAATCGGAGAAATTAATTAGCCTATCACCGTTTTCGCAGCGATGGCCTAATCCAAATTTCCCAATTAACATGGGTAACGAAGCTTGCAGAAGACATACTCATGATCATGAAGGTACTAGGGAGTTTGATACGAGAAACGTTCCCAGCGTCACTTGGCGTTTTTTATTTTGAGGGCGCACCTCTAGCCTTTGCACAACCAAATATGAACTGCAAGGCAGCAAGAAGTAAACCCTCGCCTCGGAAGTGAGGGGGTCAATGACTTTAGTTTGAAAAGGCCAGTCACATCGACCTTTATCACGCCACCGTCACTGAGGGTTTACTTCTTGCTGCCTTGCAGTTCATATTTGGTT